GAGGCTCCGAGTGGGGGGGGCGGGGGAGAACTCCACAACTGGGGTCTCCAAGGCGTGCCCCCTCCAACTCCGCCGCCTCTGTGCGAGTCCACCGTCCATAGCGACTTGTGGGCGGCTGTCCTTTCCGCTGCGCGCTACGGTGCGCGGGGAGGCAGGTTTCTGTGGCCAGAGGAAATGGGGGGAGAGGCTGGCCGCCCCGCTCCTTCTGTTCCGAGGTTCGGAGGAGCGTCGGTGTAGACCCCCGGGGGAGGCGGGGAGGGGAGTGAAGAGGGGAGCACTCAGTCTTCCTGCGTGGAGTTTGGAATCCGTCAAGGAGCCTCTACTTCTGGCCGTGTGGCTTCTAGAGCCCTTCCCTCCCCCCTCAATGGCTTGTCCAGGGCCCTTTCCAGCCTCAGGAGTTGAGTAGCCCCCTCTGTCCCCACAGGCCGGCAGTTTTACACCCAGGAAAACCCAGTCACTTAGGAATTCTGGAATTCCACAGTCTCGAGCCTTAAGCACAGGGACCAGAATATGTGGAAATTGGGTGTTTACTCCTGGAGTCGTCCACCCCCCTCCCTCTTGAGCCTTAATGTGTGGCTGGGGGGGAGGGAGTGCTGTTGGGGGTGGGGCACATTCCAGAGTGACATTTCCAGAGCAGATCTTTGGATTGGGGACTTCCAAGTTTTAGAGTGCTCAGGGAATTTGGGCCCAAATGCGCACCCGTGTGGAGGTCTAAGCTGGGGACCCAGGAAGCCTGCTTCCCACCCCCCACGGCACACACCTGGGCACTGAGGTAGCTCCTCACTGGCACAGGCTTCTCCCGCTGGGAGCGGAGGGAGATAAGATGGATGGGAGAAGGGGAGGAGGTGGGAGGCCTGTCAGTGGGTCCATCCATCTCCTGACCGGCTGGACAGGCTGTGGAGTGGTGGCGGACGGGGAGGAAGGATGCGCCCTGGCATTCCTGGGTGAGCCTAGGTGCCTCTGGGAGGGAGCTCTCAAGGGTCACTGAGCCCTTGAAGGTAACCTGGCCGGGGCCTGTATCTCTCTGTACCCCTGAGCCTGGGAGACAGATCCGGGCAGCCGGGTGAAGCCCAGGGTCTCGCTCAGGAGAGCTCTCAGGCTTCTGTGTGGATTGGGGGCGAGGGGGAGGAAGTCGGTTGCTCTGAAAAAGGGAGCTGGCCTCGTTCTTGCTGGGTGAAGCCAGTCTGGGCAGGCTGGGCCTTGAACCCACTGGCACTCCCGGGGCCTGTCTGCTTCCCCAAGAGGGAAAAAGGGCAGAATGGGATTCTGGAACTGGATTGGGCTGAGCAGCTGAGCCTGGGGAGAGGCTGGTTTCAGAGATGATGAAAAATATTTATGTGGCTGATTGCAGGGGGGTGAAGCAAAAGAGCCCTTTTGCCCAGAAAATAATCTGAGGCTGAGGCTCGGTTGCAGCCATGGTGTGGGGGAAACTCGTGAGGCAGAAAGGAGGGTCCCCTCCTTGGTCCCACTGAGAACCTTAAAGGAGAAGATGTGACTCCAAATGAAGGGGGCAGCTGCGGTGGGAGAAGTGGGCCCTGAGTCCGTCCAGTGAATGATTTTCAGATGCCTACTGTGTTCAAGGCAAGGGGATGTATCTTGTTCGCTGCCCTCAGACCTTAGAGCCTGGGAGGGGAGACGTGTGCACACATGATTCTAACATTTGGCTCTCAGAAGACTCAGCCTAGAAGTGCAGGGTCTCCAGGCAGAGCTGGGTTCATGTCATTGAAGTCCTTTCGCCATCTTAAAAGGTGACATCAGCTGACTGGCTGAATCTGGACTCCTAGAGGTCAAACTCTTCGGAGTTACCTTCACTAAGTCTCCTGCTGGCTCCCAGGGTGGCTGTCCTAGGCTGTGGGCAAGAGCCAGGTCCATCTGGCCCAGTTTTCCCACCTGAGTGCGTGTATTCTTGTCTCTCCCCTCGCCCTTCCATTTACCAGGGAATCGGAGAAATGAGGCCTATCAGGGTGGGAATGGTTTGTCTTACCGGGGGCCGGTAAGGTTCAGGGCAGCATGTTGCCTGGCTGGGGAAGGAGGGGACACATCCCTGTTTCCTTCCTTGGAAGTACCCGTGTTGGTGAGGCCGACCATGGTGAGACTTGAAGGGGATGGTTCTGGTCCAAGTGCCTGGGCGTTGCTGGGCCCCAGCGGGGTACAGGCAGGTGTGGATCTCAGCAAGGTGGGTCAAGGAGGAGTGATATGTAAGGGTCGCAGGGCTAAATGAGACCCGCTTGGTGTTTTATGACAACGTGGCTGTTACCAGACTTGAGCTTGCAGCATAAGCTTAGCGTCCTTCCCCCCCACATCCAACCAGTCCTTCGATACTTTGGAAAGGATTTTTTAATTTTTCCAAGAGTTTATTTGAGCCAATCTGACAGTCGCAAGATCTCAAATGATCCGTCTCCTATTAGGTTTTTAAATACTATCAAGTCATGGGACTCTTTGTTCCTCTTTGCATTTTCCAAAGCCCTGAGGACTGGGCCTTGGCCCCCTAGGCGCACAGTCCGTATTTGCAGATTGGAATAATGGCCTGTTCTAAACCGGGGCGGGAAGAGGCAGGTGGGATGAGAAGCACATGAAAATGTGCAGATGCCGGGAGGCCATTCTCAGGGTTCAGTTCCACGTCTCCCAACTGTACCCTAAGTTCTGGCTGCTTTGCTGTGAGCCCAAGAAGCCCAAGATGGTGCCAAGTGCTTAGGATCCTATAGCATGACATCGTAAATTACCTCCTGGAGTGGTTTAGTGTTTCTGCTCACCCATTAGCCCTTCCGGACTCTCTTCTTGTTCCAACAGTGTAAATACAGTGTGTGCTTTATTGATCTACGGTTACACAAAGTCCCCTGCAAAAGCTGATTTAATTCACAATGCGGGAGAAACATGCTTTTCCATTGGAAGCCAGGAGAAACTAGCCATGTTACAGTGCCAGTTATTTAGGAAAACAATAGTAAAATTCACATAGAATGTTAATTTATTAAGAGTTGACGGGTGATCACTTCCTAAGGTGTATAAATGTCGAACCACTATGTTGTACAGCTGAAATTAACAATGTTGTATGTCAACTGTAATTGAAAAAAATGATTTACTAAAAAAAAAGTTAATGGGAAAAGCAAGCTTAATTGAAACATGAGGAGGTGGCTGAGGAGGCAGAGACACCTATAATATTTTTAAGGGGCATGTAGAATATCTTAAAGGATGTTGAAGACTGATGGTCTTCATTGTCAGTTTCACTTAGTTTATGAGTTTTCTTTTTCCTCACTTAGTGTCTTTCCATTTAATTATGGAGAGACAGTTTATATCAACTGAGATTTAGGATTTTTGTTTGCCTGTCAGAAATTAAGTAACCAGGAATGGTAAAGACATAAGGGGGTAAACTGTGTAAACTCTCTCTCTTCCCCCGCCCCCAAAAGGGAAGAGAGGTGGTGGGGAGGATCCAGTTGGATCATGCCATTCCCCTGCCAGCCACTAGTGATCACTATCGGCCCAGGAAAGCTTGGTTGGTGTCTTTCTGGAGAGTTCCTGGGCCCAAGAGATGAGAGGAAGAGGCAGGGTTATCACTAGTTATTTGAACATATGGAATGATTTAAATGTGGAGTGCCTGCATGTCGTAGAATTTTGGAATTTATAACTTACATTTTAGAGCATTTAAATTTTCTGTTCTCCAAGCCTTTGATTGGAAAACTCACTGACTTGGTGTTTAATTTCTCTTAACCTCCACATTCTTTATCTCCACTTCATACAGTAAAAATCCAGTTGCAGTTGAGAGCAGGAGTTTGGCTTCCTTTGGTAAAGCTGCTGGTCCGGGACTGGTCGAATGAGTAGCTAGAGTAATAAGTTAGCTTGCTGGTGTGAATAAAAGACATTTTTCTTGCTTTTAGCTACCATGCTTTAAAATTCTCCATTATAGATTCATTCCTTTGGGTTTTGCATAGCCCTTGCCTGGTTCCTGCTTTTAAAATGTTAATGCATCATCAGAGAATTTTGCATTAAGTCGTTAACTCCCTAGCTGGGAAATGATTTTGTCCTGATTCTGCTGCAATTGAACTAGACAAAGAAACTTTGGATTCTGAAGAGAGAAGCCTTGGCACTAACAGTGGGAAAGTGAAGGGCTGGAGAGAGGGGAGTGGTGGGGGAAGTCAGGGGGAAGAGCTGATAAATACAACTTTTCAGTTCTTCGTTTTTTTATGGCTGCAAGTTATGCCTGTCACGGGCTTGTTGAATACTTGTTGGATGAATGAAGGATGGAACGAATGAACTTAGGGCTGATTCACCACGGACTTAGGCATCGCATGGACAGAGTTTACGGGCATGGTGTCTCTCCTATTGAACTCTGGGAGGTCCCAGAACAAGAAAGGAAGTGCTAAATGGGTGGCATGCTTGCTTTTGACTTTCTCATAAACCGCCCCCCCACC